AGAATCACACTACGTATTCATCTGATCATCTTCTCTTTCGGCAAATACTACACCAAATAAATAAGTTTATATAATATGATTCATTAAATTTCTGATTCATTAAATTTCTGTTGATTCATTAAATTTCTCTGTTTGCTTCAAAGACTCATGAGTAATTTACTATTAAAAATGTGCTTCTTTGACACGGCTGTTTCACTCTATATAAAAGTGAGCATGACGTCATGAGTTTATCAAAAAAAAAAGTATTTCCGCATAAAAAGTATAAAAATTCATTAACTTTAAAATAATAGTATTTTTTTTCTATAAATGCTTTCATCTTTGAATAAAACATAAATAAAAGATTTATCTTTCCTTGTTAAAAGGATATTGTATCCTGGGATCTAAATAAATAGGAAACATATATGTTTTATCTATAATATGTATGCATATTATGGATAAAAACTTCAATTTTAAATCATGCCTCATTCCACATTATTTACCATCTTGAGCAGCTTTATTTGATAAAAACTTTTTTCATCTTTTATACAAGAACCTCTCTCTCTTAAGAACAAACACTCATTTATTGTTCCAAGAAGCTAATCTAAAAAAAACCTGTGTGATGTTAAGCTCTATATTTCTCAGTTTACTAATGTAAATCTTATCTAAGATGTAAGGTTCTAGAGACTTTAGGTTAGTTTTCAACAATGTTATTAGCTAAAGTAGGTCTAAAGTAGCAACTTTTAATATCTAATTCATGGATCTGATTTTTTAACTTCTCCACAGAATAAAGCAGAGCTGTTAGCAAAAAAATCATACTTTAATTTGACTTTTGAATATAATTTCCATACTCTTCGTGACAGTTAAACAGGTTAATCAATGCTAATGTTAGTTCTCAATTAAACACTTCTACAGTTTGTACTCCAGAATAGATTTCCATCATTTAAAAATCTAAAAAAAGGAATTGTTCAGAACTCTCTTCAATTTTTGCTGAACTCTTAACAAGTCCTAAACCAATGGTTCCAATTTTTCAAAACTTTAGAAAACATTTTAACCTCTCTAACTATCCGACGATTAGTTTTCATTTTCTTATTATTTTTATTCTGTTATTAGTTACTGTTATTCTGTTCATTCTATTATAAGTTTCTTTATATAAAGGTTTTGAGGTTATAATATTTCTTTCTAACTGCAGTAGCTAGTTAAAGGCTTACACTCCTTTATTTTGAGTAACTTTAAGGTTATCACAAGGTTCTATCTTTGCTCCTGCTTTGTTTCTTATCAACAAAAACAATCCTCAGCAAAATTTTACATCCAAGATGGCTCTATTTGCTGACAATTTAATTTTATACTCATTTTATGACTAAAAATCTTCAATATTTAAATGCTTAGAACAAGCAGCCTATTTTAAATCTGATCTCTACTCTATAGAACAAGCAGCCTATTTTAAATCTGATCTCTACTCAATAACAGCCTAAGACTTGCAATGGCTTTTGGATTTAAATTCTAAACTTAAAATCCACAAATTTTACTACATAACAAAACTCATTTATTTATTGCAAAAAAATTTTTCCTATCATGACAAATAACAACCCTCCTACTCTCAGCTTAAGTCTAAAAACACAATATAAATGCTCTTTATTTGTCCTGAACCACTCTCCCATTGTTGTAAAGTTGCATTTCTTACAAATACTATCAAGGTAAATGCTCAAACAAGCATCTTCAATGTAAATCTAGATAAATGATCAAACAATCATCAACAATTTATCATCACTATTACGGTAAACCAAAACTCATTCTTGCTTCGCTTTTTATTCAACAAGTTGCATCCATTAACTATATCTGTCCCATCATGCAAAAAAATTTTATTAATCCAGTTTTTTTGTTGTTAATGCAAATTTAAACTCTTACTGAAAAAATGATAAACTTTTTCAAAAACATTTTCAACAAAAGATAAAAGTAAAATGTTACTTTAATCTTTTCCTCAACTACTTTCTATTTTTTCTGGTGCCTAGCAAATAACTATTTTTTTTTTTAAATAGTATTTCTCAATTTGTTTTCAAAATATCAACTCATTTTTCACCATCATGTAAAGTTGTTAAGATATTTGGGTTCAAATCTGTAGTATTTAAGGTAAAGTTCCTAATATTGCCGAAAAAAAAGTTATTCAAAAGTATGTCAACCTGGATTTCAAAAGAGGCGCATTTTCGTAGAGATATTGGAAAACATGATTATTTTTTCTTAAACCTTGTTAACAAAAAAATTATTTTAAAAAATGCTAAAAACTCTTACAAAAAGTTTAACAAAATGTTTTTCAGCTATAATACAAAAAGTTCTCAACTTTATTACAAACGAATAACATTTTTGAAATCTCAATAAAAATACACTTCTTTTAAGACCCAGGATTCGACGAGGCCAAAGACTCAGCTTGACTCACCAGGAGGTAAAATTAGTTAATAACAACAAGTATAAATTAAAATATATTTATGGACATCCCCAGTTTTATTACACTAGACTGTGTATCATTTTAAAAACTTGCATTTGAAGTAATAATCAAGGAGAAAAACGGTTTCAATTGTGAAAAATAAATTTTGGACTTTCCCTTCGACAAACACCCTGAGTAAAATTTGTGTCAAGTTTTATTGTTTAACTATCATCATGAAGTAAAATTAGTTTGTAACAACTAGTATATATCAAAATATATCAATTGACATCCCCTGTTTTATTACAATAGATTGTGTATCATTTTAATAACTTGCATTTAAAGTAATAAATAAGGAGAAAAAAGGTTTCCAATGTAGAAAATAAATTTCGGACTTCCCTTTTGCTATACACCCTGTTTAATTTGTGTTTTATTAAACTAATTAATTTTATAAAACTTATAACATGGCCGATGATTACTTCAAAATGTCGCTTAATTCGCAAGCTAATATAGCATTTTAAAGAAAAAGTTAGTATGTTAAAGAAAAGCATCATTTTCTATAAAGTTAGGCGAACAAATATTATATTAATTGTGTAGAAATTTTTATATCACGATATCCTTTTGATACAAGAAAGGAAGACAAAGAGTTGTTACAAGTAAAAGCTGTTTATAGTTGCATCGATAAAAACTAGTATTTGGTTTTCTTTAATAATAAAGAAGAAGATTTTAGATATATTAAGTATAAATTTTAATTAGCCATATTGTTTATCCTTTATGAGAATCATGATAATCGTAATAGGAACTATGATGAACCGCATAAAAGAAAAACTCGTTTACTTAGTGTTTTAATAAAAGCTATTATTGATTTTTCTTTGGGTGTTATAAAAAGTGAAATTGTGGCATGGATACTTTACGAAAGTTTTTTATACCTGTGGTTTTTTGTCTCAAAGAATGTCAATAATGGTGCAGCCCCTGCTACTGCTTCTTCCACTGAAGTTAATAACAAATTTTGATTTTATTAATACACTGTGTATGACAAGACATGTTTTTAAAATAACTTTTTTAATTACACAATTTTGCAAGCAAGTAATGATGATAATTTTTATAGTTTAAATCTTATTGAAGCATTAAAGGTTTTTGTCTTTATAGTTAGAAATATTATTAATCAACACCTTCAAATATGCTTTAAACAAGCCTAAAAATTGCATTTCAAATTATTTTAACTTGCTTATCGCTGTTTCTGGCTAGACTATCTGAGTTTTATTTAGATTACTCAGTTTAACACAATGTTTGATTGATACAATTTTGAAGTGTTATAAGTACCTGTGTTTTAATTTCTTCTTTTTAATATTCAGTTTCTTCTAAAAACAATTGCAGAAACTCAATGTTTTGTTATACTAGTTGGGAAGACCAAATCATATGTTTTAGTGTCTTTTGTTTAACCAAAGGCTTCATTAGGTTTATTTATTATTTCCAAACCAAAGGCTTTATACTTAAATTTGATCAGTGGGAAGTTTAGATGAATTTCACTTAACTGACTGAATTTCAAAACGGTACTTTAATCTAATAATACTGAAACATTTCAAGCAACAAACCTTTTTAAGTTTGTTAGAAATACTTATGAGTTGTGTTTTAAATAAAATTCAAATACGATAAAAGTATAACTTCAAATGTTTGAGCTGCTTTTTGGTAAACAGCTATTTTCATAGCTGACATCTTTGTAAAAACATTTAGCATTGTACAGTTATTGCAATAAGTTTTTTGACTTTAAGTATTTATAAAGTTTATTTATAATTAAATATTATTTATAAAGTTATATAAAAAAGTTTACACAGCACAATTTTGTATTAATCTTGTAAATTGTTTTTACAAATCTTGTAAAAAATTTTAATTTGTTTATATTATACATTACGACAACTGAGTATTTTCAAAAAATAGTTATTTTAGTTTGCAAATTTCATATTTTGAGCTTTAGTGACCATTTTATCAATGTCACAAGTCATTCAAAGAATAAAAACATTTTTATAAAATACACTCAGTCCGGTCAAACTCCGGACCCCCTCCCCCTCTCTTAAAAAATAGGGAGGCAGAGGGGGACACAGTGTTTTTTTTTTTTTTTGGGACTTACCCAAAAAATTTCCTGTACACGCCCCTGTTTAAAGTACTTTCAACAATTTTTAATAATTATTTGCAACTAGCGTGGTTAAATTCTTAAGTAAAATAGTTATCTGGTTGTAACTAAAGTAACATGGTTATGTTACTTTAGTTACAACGGTACTTTTATCTATTCATAGAAATGCCTTTAAATCAACACCTTACTTTGGTTAAAATACAAATAAAAAATTAAAATGATGATTAAATAAATAATGATAAAAAAATCATGACTAAAAATCACCGTTGTGGCACCGGTATTATTAGGGGAGAAGTCGGAGGGCAATAATCTCAAGAATATTGACACCCCCTTACCCCAACGTTGCTAAAAAAAAATTGGTATCTCCATATAAACTCTGAGTTCATCACTGACTTGTTCTAACTAAAGTAAAACAATTAAGGCAATATAAGATAAACAGTTTATAAACAAACATGAATAAATGAAACTTATTACTCCTTCCATGTATTCCATTGAAATAGAAACTGTTGTGCTAGTACAAGTAATACCATAGTATTCCACAACTCGTTTATGAATTAGTGTTTGAAAAAGTGAAATATCTTGTTTCAATTTTTCAACTTCTTTTTTTGCTTTTTCATTACTATCAGTGTTTCCAATCTCGATTGATTTTGTAGCTATTTTTTTTCCTGTATTTTCATCTGTGCAAAGATAAACCTAAAACAGAACCAAGTTTTTAACAGATATTCTATCAGAAAATCTCAATACATTTTAATGGCATCCTAAAATATCACTTTGATTTTTTTCTCAATAACCTCCCCAATGCCATAAAGGTCACTAAAGTCAAGGAGTCTAGTTTAGTTGTGGTTACAACCCTCTATCAACTTTATTTAAATCCGAAACACAAATCTTGGCAAACAAGGTGGCTGTGCAGAGAAACAAGTTGAGCGTGTTACTATCGCGAACATAGTGGGAATTAAAAAGGAACTTGTGACTTATGAGGCAAGCGCTCTACGACTAAATCATTGCCGCATAAGCTTGAAAAATTTTTAAAAAGAGTTTAAAAGTTAAAAGACTCTTTGAATTGTAAAAACAAAAAATAGACTTATGCGCTTTATCTGGTTTTTACATATATTACGCATTTCCGACTCTTTCTTACTTATTTTGAATTTATAAACTAACAAGTACGATAATTTAGTAGCATCACATAGAATAATAAAATAAACTTTAGTGCTTTTGATTTGTTCATTATAATTGAACATGCCTGTTCAATTATAAGATTGCTTAGCGTTCAAAATCTAAATGTACCAAAGTTAAAAATAATGCATGTAGAACTAAATTCTAAATGCATTAAGTTCTTAAGTCTTTTAAATCTAAAAAGTAAAAGCAACAAAAAAAAAAAAAAAAAAAGCAAGAAAATTAAACAAAAGTAAGAAGTAAAAAAAAAAAGAAAAAGAAATGTAGTAAAAAGAACCCAGAGAGTATTCTAATAAAATATTCCAATGGTAATACGTTATTTGATTAACTTCTTAGATTAACCTCAAAGCAAGTAAAGTAAGTCATCAAAACTCATTACTTAATGTTCTATTCAAAAAAGAGGATACGAAATATTAAAGGCATAGTGAATAAATGATGCAGAGCAAAACTTTTCAAAAAAAACTTTTTGTTGAAAAGGTAAATAAATAATATTTTAATGTATATTGATCGTGATTCCACACTTGTATAATTTAAACAGTTTTTATGTTACTTTTTCACAAATAAATAATGGTATAAAAAAGTATTTTCTAATTGAAAACTCTTTCTTGCATCCACCTCGTGTTCTGATGCTAACATTTGAAGAATTACAGTTTAAGTTAGGTTTTTGAGCACCTGCCACCCATACCCACAATTATTTAGACGTTTCAAAATAGATCTTTTTTTTTTCTTCATGGTAAGTTGCAAGATTGAATAACAACAACAACAAAAAAAAAGAAAATACAATTTAAACAGTAAAATAAATGTTTAATGCTTTTTAAAATTTTTTATTTTAACATATTTAAGTTTTGTTTTTATCTAAATTAAACGCCTCTTTAAAATACAAACTTTAAGTTCTTGCAGCAGATTTTATCTAAAGAAAAGATTTTTAACATAATCTGGAAGAATTTGTAAAAATCTTATCTTTAGTTAAGATTTGTTAGAATGTTAAGATTTTGTTAGAATGTTAAGATTTAATGTTTAGTTAAGATTTGTTAGAATGTTAAGAATCTTATATTTAGTTAAGATTTATTTTAGATAAGAAGAATAACAATATACCGAAGCATTGGGCTTAGCCTTTTGATCCATAGTGCATCATTACTGTGTGCAAGCAGTATCAAATAAAGCATGAAATACAAAAAATACATCTAAAAACGCTTAAATCTATAGGTGTTAGTCCAGAAATCACCAGAACAAAATTTAACATTGAAAATATCGACACATATATTGACAATATATGTATAAAAATCCTAAAGCGTATTTTACGAAACCCAAACCATCCGCTAAACATAAAGACAAAAAGTAAATTTAAAATAGCAAGATAAAACATCAACTTCGGGTTCAAGATAGCTACTGCAATACGGCACACAAAATTAGTTTTATTAAAAAATATGGCATCTTATAAGAGACGGGAAACATAACTTGTACACAAGTTAATCAAAGCAACTACAAATTTAACTACCAAAATATATGAGCATATATATGTATGAATGTAAAAATATCTGTAATTTCTAAATTTTTAGACCATTGAATTTATATAAAAGATAAATATATATAAAAGGTACTAAAAAAATCAGAACAAACTGAAACATGACTTTTGCCATTAAAGAGGTCATTAAACTCATTATATATTAAAATTCGACAGGCTAACACATGGAATGTGAAAAGACGGTCAATTGTGTTATTTTTGGCAGTTAAAGTTTAATTTTTTTTTTTTGTTTAAAGTTTTATATAATTAATTTTTAGATTTTTAAATGTTTATATCTTAGTAATAATTCTTCATGACTGAATTTGTTATATGAAAAAATAATTTAATGCTTTACAAATTCACAATTCACAAATGAGTTAACAAATTCACATTGCCTTTAGAAAATTAATTTTAAATTAGATATTGATCTAATTTTTTTCAAATGAAAACGGAAATAACTAACACTCTAGTTACCAGCTAAAGTTAATAGCTTAAAATGACTCACTAGTGCACAGATTTTTGTTCAAATGGTTTGTGTTCAAAAATGTTCAAAAGGTTTGATAACATCCAAGTAGTTTAATTAATAATTTTATTTGATATCAAAACAATTTTATTTGAGTATTTAGTTCAAATTTTTAATTTTAAAAATTAAAAATTTGAACTAAATACTCAAAACTAGAAAAAATTCTTTTGCGAATTATTTATGTTACAGTTATCCCACATTAATGGACAACGTAAGCTTTTTTTATAGTTTAAATGTATTTTTAAACGACATTAAAGAAGGATATATTATTTTGTAAAAACATTATATGTAGATTGAAATTTTTAATTTAAATGTGTAAATATTTCAAATCAATTTTACAAACACACATAAGTGAAAAAAAAAACTTTTTACAAAATAATATAAAAAACACAATTATGCATCATGAATAATAGTGACTACAATTATGGATCAGAATAGACACAAATATAGATCGAAAAAATTTGGAAAAATATTTTATTCTTTATTTCAGTTTTGAACTGTAAAACAGTGAAAATTTAGTATTTAGCTAATTCATTTTTTTTTTCTTCAGATTTTTCAGTTTATTTTTAACTTTTTCTGCATTTTCTTGTTCTTTTTGTAGTTTTGATGCCTCTCGTTGATTTTTTTGAGTCTGTATTTCTTCTACCTTCAGTTTTTTCTCTTGATCCTTTTTCTAAAACTATTCCAATCACTTATCGCATGTTGCAACAGTTGGAACATGTTTAGATTGACGGCTTCGTGAACATTCATTTAGCGTTTCTCTTGGCCAAGAAAGTCTCTCATGGGATCAAGGCTTCCAGTTTTAAGTTTTTTTAGCTGGTTCGAAACATTTTTTCTAAATTATTTTGTTACACTAAGTCAATTTATCATCGCATTCTTTCCTGATAAGAACTCTTTTGAACTCCAATGGCTGAGTAAACAATAGTCCCTCATTTTTGTCTTTCACAGCTTCCATAGATTGAAAAGCGCTGTATCCATGATAGGTCCATACCAATAACCTTACTCGCGGTTTTCTTTAAAACTTTCGAATTGCTGTGAGGTTAGTTCTGACTCTAGTTACTGCAGTTTGTCGAAAATAGGGTCTTAGGAACATTGGGCATAACATCTGTAGCTTCCAAAACAATTGTTTCTGACAAAAGGCTAGAAAACGTTTCAAATCTATTGCATCAAAACTCCACGGGTACAAACCACATTTTTTAAAGCCATTTTTCGATACAAGTTGATGATTTTGTGAAATTATAAATGGCCGATTTCAGAAGTCGATTAAAACTTTGTTTTTATACTCTTGCTTATGGGTCCGAATTCTTAAAACTCTCCGAAACTTTGTACCAAATTTTTTTAATGGTCCAAAAAAGATACGATCTAGTCGCTCAAGAATTCTGGTTGCGTTTGGTAGGAGAGAGATGAGAATTAAAAGTTTAGCTTGCAATATTCAACGGTCTCGATGTTTACATGTCTTTTATGACCATCAACAAAAATCAAAAAAGACAGGTCTTTGTTTTTGTCAAACCATTTGACAAGGCTGTTTGATAAATATTCATAGAATGTTTTAGAGGTTTGCCAGCCCTCATCGGAGTTTCCTACAACCCATTCTGATGGTGTAGATATGGCCAAATCTCTCGTAATTCGACGTCCAGGATAAAAAAATATTGGAGGAACAATTTTTCCCGAGGCTGTGCAGCCTAAAAAAGCTATATACGCCTTCTTTTCAAAAATACTTGCCATATTGTACACGTTTTCTGACCCAGAGCAAAAACTTTTTGTTGAACTACTTCAAATCCCGATTCGTGAAAGTTCACAATTCTGTCAGGGTCATCAAACTCGTCGATATTAATTCTTTCCTCTTTCAAACACTCTTTGATTTCTTTAAACCAATTTTTAATGTGAACATCAGTGATTTTTGAACCAGCTTTTCCCAAATATGTTGTAATTTGCTTGCCAATAATTGGATGTCATGCTAAATACCTTTAAGTCCAATTTTTTGATGAAAATAACTTGGGAATGTGTCTTTGATTTCTGATTTTAGTAACATAATTAGAAATAATCATAACTAATCTTGACAGAAAATTCAACTTTTGCAAGTTAAATTATTGTCTCTTCAATTTTCTGTTCTTCTTCGGTTGCAAACTGGTCAAAGGACCAGATTTTGTCTTGATGATCCAAAAACGTTATTTTGCAAAGTTAAATAAGGAGTTGAAAACTTTGCAGCAATTTCTCTGATTGTTTTTGGGCTCTTTGCAATTACAACTGCTTCAGACAGTTGGTCCAAAGTGTAACTCTTCTCTGGAGACTTTTTTTCTTGCTAGAACCAAAAATCAAAATCGAAACTAGTTGTTTCATGTTTTATTTTAAGTGATCGATAAACGTTTACTACTCATGAAAAAAAAACACAAAAATGGACCAAAGTCTTATTGTAAAATCAAGTTATTATACAAGGTTTTGTCGGCTGATAATTAAAAAATTAGTTAAACATACTTTTTAGCTTTGATATCT